GGAGAGAAATCACTCGCTACTTAAACATGGGACTGCACCATTCTGCATGGCACATCCAGGCACCGGGGGCTACTGGTCTCAGGGGGGCTCTGCCACAAAGCAGCACCCACCAGCACCCTGATGAGAGATGGACTGGAAGGCAAGGACTGAGCAGGATGCATTCCAGTTGTGCCTGCTGAAGCCATCTTCCCTTGCGCAATTCCTCCCTTCTCCAAGGCGTACAGCCATGTCCCCAAGGGCTGCCCAGACATCTATTGCTGTACACAGGGATCTTTATCCAGCGCATCCAACATATGAAGGGCTTTTTTTCTGGTGTCCTCAACATGCTGTTGAGGCGCAAGTCCAGAGGAGGCCACGAGGATGATCAGGGGCTGGAGCACCTCCTCTATGAAGACAGGATGAGAAAGCTGGGGCTGTTCAGCCTGAAGAAGCTGCATGGAGACCTCAGAGCAGCTTCCAGTGTCTGAAGGGGGCCTATAGGGATGCTGGGGAGGGACTCTTCATGAGGGACTGTAGTGATAGGACAAGGGGCAAAAGACAAGCTTAAAGAGGGGAGATTTAGGCTAGATCTAAGGCAGAAGCTCTTCCCTGTGAGGGTGCTGAGGCGCTGGCACAGGGTGCCCAGAGAAGCTGTGGCTGCCCCATCCCTGGCAGTGCTCAAGGCCAGGTTGGACACAGGGGCTTGGAGCAAGCTGCTCCAGTGGAAGGGGTCCCTGCCTGTGGCAGGGGTTGGAGCTGGAGGAGCTTTAAGGTCCCTCCAACACAAACCAGGCTCCCCCTCTACTCTGCTCTTGTGAGACCTCACTTGGAGCATTGTGTGCAGTTCTGGTGTCCTCAACATAAAAAGGACATGGAACTGTTGGAACAAGTCCAGAGGAGGCCACGAGGATGCTCAGGGGCTGGAGCACCTCCGTATGGAGCCAGGCTGAGAAAGTCAGGGCTCTTCAGCCTGGAGAAGCTGCATGGAGACCTCAGAGCAGCTTCCAGTATCTGAAGGGGGCCTATAGGGATGCTGGGGAGGGACTCTTCATTAGGGACTGTAGTGGTAGGACAAGGGGTTCAAACTGAAACAGGGGAAGTTTAGATTGAATTTAAGGAGAAAGTTCTTTCCTGTGAGGGTGGTGAAGACCAGGCCAACATAAACCTCAAGACATTCAAGCACCAAAGTCCTATGAGGAGATTCTGAGCAAGGTGGTTGGTGGAGAAGGCTAAGGAGGATCTAACAGCAACCGAAGCACTCTGCCAAAACACTTTCTGGTGGTGCCCAATGGCATAAGAAAGGTGATGAGCACAAGCTGCAGCTTGGGGGGTCTCCAGAGGCCTCTCTCCATCAACACTTCTGGAATTCTCCATCCTTCTCCCACGTGCGGACAGGCAGCAGAAATCACCCTCCCCATGGATACAAGGAAGAAGTTCTTTACTGTTAGGGTGGTGAGGCACTGGAATGGGTTGCCCAGGGAGGTTGTGAATGCTCCATCCCTGGCAGTGTTCAAGGCCAGGTTGGACAGAGCCTTGGGTGCCATGGTTTAGTGTGAGGTGTCCCTGCCCATGGCAGGGGAGTTGGATCTTGATGATCTTAAGGTCCTTTCCAACCCAAACTATTCTATGATTCTATAGGATGTCTTCAATCACATCAGGAGAAATATCCTCCCTGTGGCCTGCTGGAGGACTGATAACAAAGTATGATCACCGGCTCCTGGGGGGGCAGAGAACCTGCTACAAGCAGAGATTTTCCCTTTCCATAATCTTGAGTGTGTCCTGATGAGATAGAGCTTGACAGTTTCAAACAGAAACTGATGTGATGCTCCATTACACCTGTGAGCACAAACACATGCTCTTAAGTTTAAAAAGTCAGAAATTATAAACACAATTAGACATAAAACAATAGCGAGGTTTAGTCTGTCTCTGGGGTACATTCCAGGGAGCAAGGCTGCTCCTCAGCAGTGGATCTAGAACAGCCACTCTGAACGTTACCTGTGCTGTATCATGGGGCATGCTGCATTCAACTGCACTGGAGCTGGGGAGGTGCATACACACAGCACTGATCCTGCTGCCACCCTGCCCACCACACTGCTCCCAGTTCCTTCCAGGAAGAAGGCAAAAGGATCCCGGGACACCTGTGGGACAGCTGCCACATCGGCAAAGGGACAGGGCCCTGGGGTGAAATGGGATAATTTGAAGTGACTGCAGAGGCCTCCCAGCAATGCCAGCAAGAGCCAAGGGCTCCGGTGGGTATCGGGTGCGCTGCTGAGCCCAGCTCCAGCGCCTCGGCAGAACCCACTCGTTGACAACTTGGAATGATCAGTCACCCCGGAGCACACCGAAGTGGGGAGAGTAATTGACTAAACCAGAAGTTAAAGTTACCTTAAATAGTTATGAGTCTGTGACCTTGTAAACCATTCCTGGAGGACTCGCTGGTTTGCTTCGTCTGCCTGGGACTCGCAGATCGGATTTGAGCTGGTTTTGTGTTACCCATCCCCATCATGGGCACTGCTTCACATTACAGCCTCTTAATTCAGCAGCTTGGTGAATTAGAGGAATTAACCTGAACACATTTAGCTGCCACCCTGCAGTCCACTGCTGCCTTCAAGCACAAACAATGCACTGTCCCAGAGCTGTAAATAGGAACTGAGCTCCACGCTGGAGATTGAAATGCTCTGTTAAGAGGGACAGCAGACAGCAAGTCTGCCACCCTCGCAAAACACTGAGCTTGAGAGAAACCAATGCAAGCAAATTGGGCTGGAGAAGTCATAAGGCAAATCCTCTGTGCAGATGTGAACATTTTCCATAGGGTGTGGAATGAATGCAGATTTCTGTAGTGTCGGCCCCCTTAACCTCCCAAGAAACCCAGGGCAGCCCAGACGATCAAACTGCTCTTCCCCATGTTTAAAGCTCCATGGCAGCTCCTGCAGCACTTTTCTGCTATGTTACATTGCTTGTTATACAGGCATTAAAGATCTCCTTTCCCCACAGCATACACAATGTGTGCCCACTAGAGCATTCTGTTTGTCACCAGGACTTACCAGAGCCCATCTCTCACAGCCTGCTGCTGCACCTAATTAAATGCTCCATGATTTAGCTGTAGTCATGCCAGTGACGCACAGTCCCATCTACGTGACCTTGGCCATGGGCCAGAAGGCTTCCCCCACTCCTCACGCCTGTCTGTGTTGGAACTAAGGATCCAAGGGTAAAACCAGGGGAAAATACCTGTCCCCTTAAAGCCCAGGAAGGACCCTGGGCTGCAGCGAGCAGGCACAGGAGGAACAGCACCATTTAGCACTGTCTGGATTAAAAGGTTTTATTCTCTTATCAGCTAGCAAAGACATTCACCTATTTTGCTCTCCTTTAGTAGTCAACTTTCCCTGTATCACGGCAAAACAGCGCGGGCCCTGAGGACATACCTTACCTTATTAGGCAACAGCAGTCCAGAAAGTGGAGGGCTCGGAGCCTTCTTGAGCTTAAAAAGACAGCCCAGGGGAAGATCGTCAGCCCACGGCCACAGGGAGTGAGGGCAACAACAGAAGTGTGGCCTTGAGGGAGTCACCGGGACCCCTGGGGTCCCAAACACCCAGGCTGGCAGTGGCAGGCAAGGCACAAAACGCTAAAGCCCTGTTTGATCTTTCTAGCTGTTGGTCAAATCCATCTTGTCAAAAAGGTGAGCACTGTGATCACAATGGGAAGTGACTGGGAGATAAAACACCACTAAAAGCAAAACAGGTGTGAGAAATAGAACATCCCCAAACCACAGAACCATTAGAATTGGATGGGATCTTAAAGCTCATCCAGTTCCAACCCCCTGAAATGGGCAGGGACAGCTTCCACTACAGCAGGTTGCTCCAAGCCCCATCCAACCTGGCCTTGAACACTGTCAGGGATGGGGCAGCACAGACCGCAGGGATGCTCCATGATTCTTGCCAAAGTGCTGGCCAGTCAGCAGGGCAGAAATCTCACTGATCTGGATGTAAAATGGGAAGACTGACCAAGTGACATGATGCTGGAGGCATGCAGTAAAGACAATGAACTGGAAAGTGGATAAAAACAAGAGGAGTGGAAGAATGGGAAAAGCAGCACCAGCAGAGTGTGAGGAGAGCCTAAACCAGGCTCTAATGTACATGTGGTGTGTAAGGAAACAGGGGACTTGCCACAGAGCACGTGAGCACTGGGAGCTGCTCTAAGGTCTTCCCTTAAGGAGCCTTCTCCAGGCTGATCAAGCCCAGCTCTCCCAGTCTGCCTCCAGAGCAAAGCTGCTCTAGCCCTTGCAGCATCTCCATGGCCTCCTCTGGCCTCACAGTATTGCAAACAGAAAACCAAAAATGCATTCTGAAGAGCATTACTGACAATTCTCAGCAAGGAACCGGTTAATTTTGACAAAACAAGGCTTCAATCACTCTACTGAAGTGAAAAGTACGTGGAAAGGCTCCTGCAAGTTCTACGTTTTCTGGCACAGATTAAATGTCACTCAAGCACAGTGACCCCTGAGCAACCTTCAATCTGCTTGTTTTCCCCAGGTCTTGCATATCATGCTGTAATACTCTGGACATGTAATCAGCTTTAGCATTGTCAGAGTAAGTCATCTTGTCAGCCTCAAATGTGGTTTTAGACTAAGACAGACAAAACCAAAAGAAACCAAAGCAGTTTGGAAGGACTCAGTAATTATTATAAAAGGGAAAAAAAGGGCCTTGACAGCTCTGAGGCAAGAACAGGGGAACAATGAACCATCTCTGATGTGCTGCTCACCAAGACCATTTCCTGCAAGAAACCAAACCCAACGAGGAGACAAGATACAAAAGACACTGTCCAAAACCTCTGCATTGGGGTGATTGGGGTTCAGGTGAGGAATCAGTAACCAATTTGCTACTCAGAACTACCTCTTGGTTCATACTCAGCTCCTGACCAGAGCCTGAACCTCTCATATAAATAAGAGTCAAGCCATAGAAGCCTTCTTGCCACCAACATGCAAGAGTGAAACACCAGTTATTCAGATGTATGTTTTCACTTACCCGAGTTTCCTTCACTTCCTCATTTCCATCAACTTCATCACCATCCTAGGATGAAAAGCAAACGTTGTAATTAGGCAGCCTTGGAAACAACCAGATTGTATGACAGGAAGATAACGTATTGCTTATGATTTGATGTCAAAGCTTCTGTCAAAAGAAAACCTGTCTAAATACTTCTGGCTGATAATCAGATCAGGTTTGGTACCTAACGGCCATTTAGAAGACCTTGGTACTAAGGACATAGCTCTCTTGAGTAACTGCAATGTGAATGCTCCTCCAGAGTCAGTAGGAGAAGGAAGAACACTCCTTAATGTACTTAGGGAACACACATGACACTCGGGAAGGTTGCGTGTCTGAAGTGTTGACGTAATATTGACTTTCCAAGAATATCCTCCCCTTCAGTTAGGTTCCAGGAGGGAAGCCTGCTCATCCCGGAGAGCCTGCACTTACACAGCCTCTCTGTAACCCACTGCCTCTCTGGAACAGCTCCAGGCTTTCATGGAGCAGTGGTAAACCACCACGGCATCACATCACCCATAGTGAACTCGGGGTACTTCAGAAGTTGTAGCTGCAGTTTTGTACAGACACAACAGGGAAATGAAGTGTAACTCTTGAGAAGCAATTTGCTTTCTGCTTTGAAGCTGGGAACGCTGCTGCAGTGACCCAGCAGACAACTGGGCAAGATGGAAAACACAATAATAAGAAAAAATAATTATATTTGGCATGCAAGAAAAAAAGATGTAAGAATCATTTGAAAATAATCAAAAGGGGTTTTGCAGCAAGTCTTTCAATAGAAATCCCCAGGCTTCCAGCAGAGCCATTCAACTTGTCTCAACTCCAGCTATCTGCTGGTGCCACAGGGGGTTTTTCATTGTATTGAGCAGGAAGCCTCTTCCCCTGAGGTGCATGAAGGGGGCTGTGTCCATAGATCTATTGCAGACTTCTCAGCCGTGATTTCATAGTACTTTCTCCTGAAAGAGGTGATCTGTTTTCCTCCCTGAGTCTCTCACCAGGGTTTGGAGGGCTGGATTCTTCCCTCAGACTGAAGAAACCCTTTTGAAACCAGGACTAAGAGAACTGACCACAGCACAGCTCTTCTGGTGATGGGCAGGGGATCCAGACACAGGTTTTATTCCTCATTGTCTTCCTTTTAGGAGGGCTAAGGAACAGCCAAATCTGGGCTCAGATTCCCACTTCCAGTGGGTTGTGACCTCCGAAGAACCTGGAGTTCTGACCTCTCTTCTCCCATGTGGGCTCCTTCACAATTCTGCAAGGGCCACACTGATTGACAGCCCAAGAACAGGCTTCTAGAACCTACTGCTTGGGTTTTGCATGGACCAGACAAGGATGCGATGCCTTTGGACATCATGCTTGACATGCCAGTCAAACAGACCTGGACAGGGGAAGACTAATGGGAAATCAACTGCCTTGGGAAAAAATATGCAGCTCGGAATTGGAAGGAAATGTACCCGGAATGTTACAGGATGAGTTTCTCTTCTGTAAGGAACTCAAACTTACGTCTTTTGTTGAGAAAATGATGCCGGTGCCTCTTCGCCTCTCTTTTGGCCGCCGCCTCTCCCGGATCGACTGTTTGTTCAGAGATCTGTCGTCCAAATCCTGATCTTCACACTCTGGCCAAGCAAAGAAAGACTGCTTTGGTTTCAGTGATTTACATCTGGGCTTTTGCTAAGGTACTGGGGTTCTTTTCAAGCTGATCAAGGTCATCTTGGCTTGTGTTATATTATAAAGGAGTTATTAAGCCAAATGAAATGGAAGCTTGGTGCCCTACTACATCTGTTACCTGCACTCCTTCCTTCATCAGAGGTTACCCTGGCTGTCAGCTCTCCCCTAATCGTCCTGACTTGCTCCTACAGGAGCAAGTCCTAGAAGAATCACTCCCCCCAGCTCTAAGGTCCAAATGTTCCATGGATTACTATCTCATTTACTTATGCAAAATGGAGAACATCCCTTTATCCCTCTCTGTTACAAGTAATAGGATGTATCCTATGCTAGGATTTCCATTTAAACAAATAGCATTTGATTTGTGAGGTGACAGCTCCCCATCCTGCTGCCCTCAGAATAGCAAGTAAACATCCTCTCCTTGTCTGTACACATGGAAAGTTATAAACCTCATGAAAATCCCTGAGCATTGCCTGTTCTGTGTACATACCATTCTTCTCCATCTCTGTGGCTGCACCTCTGAAGTCTGCTGGGTTTGCAGGGTCAAGACCTAGATACTTATTTGTTCGAGTCAGGTATGAACTTGTAAAAAGGAGAGGTGCTGATGTTGAAGGAGACAGAGGTGTCGTAGGTTTGTCTGGTTGTACTGGGCACCTTAATCGCCGATAGACAGTCTGTAAAGAGAGAACCATGACAGCAAGTAAGTAGGATGAAGAGGAACGAGCAGATTTGGGAGTTCAGGGAACTTGGTAATCTTTTGGAGTGTCATGTTTTCTTCACTGCTGCTGGGAGTGATGGCCTCCATCCCCCAGATCAGGTTCACTTCATCAGATGGGGATGAATGATAAAAGCATTGCATGGCTCAATGTGGAAGCAGCCTCCCGAAATGGGGAAGTCTGGGATCAACCTCTTTGTCCCTCCAGCCAATGGCAGGACAAATAAGTTATCTAATAGAAATAAAAGATTTAGAGTGAAAAAACAGAAGGGATGGCAGGGAGAAAAAACTGCTCTCTTTGGCTTTCCATTACACACAGAGCACATGGAAAAATGTGAGCACAGGGCCTCAGCCGAGTCTGCACAGCAAGGATGGATCCAGGCCACGTTTCTATCATTAGACTTTTCACTCCACTTTTGGTGATCTACATGGCTTTATTTTCTGGCAAGAGATAGAAAAGTAAAATTCCCAGTGGAGAGCAAAGGAGCTCCAACACCTATATACCCAACATCCCTCCTACAGCCTGCTGAGGTGAGCTACCAATCCTCAGTGTTATAATAGAATCATGGAATGGTTTGGGTTGGAAGGGACCTTAAAGCTCATCCAGTTCCAAAGCCTGCCACGGGCAGGGACCCCTTCCACTGGAGCAGCTTGCTCCAAGCCCCTGTGTCCAACCTGGCCTTGAGCACTGCCAGGGATGGGGCAGCCACAGCTTCTCTGGGCACCCTGTGCCAGCGCCTCAGCACCCTCACAGGGAAGAGCTTCTGCCTAAGAGCTCAGCTCAGTCTCCTCTCGGGCAGGTTCAAGCCATTCCCCTTGGCCTGTCCCTACAGGCCCTTGTCCCAAGCCCCTCTCCAGCTTTCCTGCAGCCCCTTTAGGCACTGGAGCTGCTCTAAGGTCTCCCCTTCAGGAGCCTTCTCTTCTCCAGGCTGCCCCAGCCCAGCTCTCTCAGCCTGGCTCCAGAGCAGAGCTGCTCCAGCCCTCGCAGCATCTCTGTGGCCTCCTCTGGATTCGCTCAGCAGTATTCCTGCTTTCCAGCACATCTGCCTCCCTTAAAATAAACAGACATCCCCAAAAGAACTCCTCCTGATCTTGGTTGTCCTAAATGGCTTCATTAGCTCTGAAACGCTGAGAACTGAGGCCAGGAGGATCACCTCCTCATCTGTATTCCTGCTCCACCGCGAGCGGGTCTCCTGCCTCTCGCTGCTGTCCTCAGCAGGCTCGGTGCTCTCGGCTGTCCCACTCTGCTGCTCCTGTGCTTGCCGCTCTGCCCGGGACCGGCTGAAGGTTCTTTCAGCCTCCTGAAGGTCCGTCAGGGTCACACCCTGCAGAGAAAGCCCAAGAGAGAGCTGGTAAATGTGCACGTTTCCATTCCAGATCCTGCAGGTCTGTTTGAAATGCCCAGCGGGCCTCTCCATGGCCAGGCCAATGCTTTATCTCTCTGCAAACAGAAGCAATTCTGCTGCCTTTAACACATTTTGCAGTGTACTGACATCAGCACCGGCTCAAAGCAACCCAAGCACACACGATCAAGCTACACACTAAAAGAAGGGTATACTGCAGAAATGAGAACTCCAAAACCCAACCCGTGTGTGCCTGGGGAGTGTTTTGTAATAGTTCCCTGCAGGAACTTTGGCCAGAACCTCTCCAACACCACGTGAGGACAAGCCCCTTGTCCTAAGTAACAATGTACAAGAAAATCCTGCCTCTCTATTCATGAGCTCTCTTTGTCCTGCACACAAACATGAGTATTTCCATTCCTTACCTGTGTGGACCTGCGGGTCTGCCGGGCCTGCCTGGATCGTGCCTTCCTCAAGGATTCCGCTTCCTCATCCCGCACTGGAGTCAGATATGACCTGGAAAAAGGAAAAGGGGCAAGAAGAGGTTAAACTGAAAGCAGATGCTCTGGCCTCCTGCCTCTGCCAGCTCCTGAGCTATTGTTCTCTGCTATGTGGACAAAAAGAATTTCACCTCCATTTACCAAGACTGCTGCCTTCTGCTTTGGGACAACTTTCCTGGGAGTCTATGATACACAAATGACATTCTCCCTGGAGGCTCTAAATAAACCCTTTAGAGTTGGACATGTCCTGTTCAGAAAGGTGCAACTATTCACTGTGTGATTTGTTCCATTCCGTGCCATTGCATCATTAGGAAAAAGAATAAACCAACCCACAGAAACCACCCCTCATTCAGATAAAGATCTCAGGAACAGAAATCCTGCACTGGCACATTCCTCAGACCCTCCTTCCTGTCATTATATTCACGATCATATTCCTGCAATCTGCTGCCTTCATCAATATGAAACCCATCGTGCTAGAAAACCTGCTGCATGGCAGGCACCTTGTAGAGACAAAACACCTTGACACAAAGCCATGAAATGAAAGAAACGACCTTCACACCTCCGGAACAAAGCATGAAAACCCCTTGGTTAAGATGCAGAGCTGGTCACCACCACGCTGCATTAAACCTGTGAGATTCCAACAGAATTATGCACAGGAGAATGCATAAACCAAGCTCTCTGCCCTGGCATTGCCTGTGGAGGATCTGGAGAGGAACTCAGCCCTGATCTGATCAGTCTGATTTCCATACCGGTGGAGCAGCTTCCCTCTTAGGAAAGATTAATTAGACTGGACTCTTCAGCCTGGTGAACAGGGAATGATTATTAAGTGTCTCAGTGTGCAAGGATGAGGGTGCCTGAAATGTTCCTTTGTAGGTCTATCACTGCCACAGGTTAACAGAGTATTAAGGATCTCCATATGGCCAAAGAACAGTTAGTCAAGCAAAGGATGAACGGTCTATTAAGGAATTAGATTACTTTGTCCTTGGACTCTTTTCCTGCTTCTCTGCTACTGATCACTTGCATGGAAGAGCTAGCAAGCTGAACAGGTTTTGCATTGGATCCAGTATGTTAAAACACTTACGAGAAGGATTATCAACACTGACAGCACCTGTAAACCTGGATCATGCTAAAACCATCTACCCTGATGACTTTTATCCACCTTCTCCATCTAGTGCTCAGCACTGATTTAGCTGTGCACTCCACAGTTAGCAGGGGTTCCTCGGACTGTCTGGAGGTACATCCATGGCAGCTGGTCACCTCATGTCTTCTGGTGTGCGACACACGTGAGTCTTCTCACCCCAAACTGGTGTTAAGTATTCGACCTAATAAATCACACCCCAAACTCCCCTGATCTGCAGAGAGCACAGGAGAGAGTGCAGGATCGATGCCCCTCACTGCAGACTTCTGGAGGAGAGAATCCTGCTTGAGGAGCTGGCTGTGATGGAGACGCAGAACTGCACTTCCACGGTGCCATTTATCACCTTCAGAGAGAGCCTCCAGCAGAGATCATGTGAGTGCATTGCAGAGGAACTCATTTCTTCCCATTGATTACCCCGACAGCCACACTAGCTGTGATGGATACACCAGCAAGGGAAGTGCCTGAAATTCAGGGGGCCCATTGCCTCCCAGGAATGGGCTGCTTCCTGAGCAGAAAAGCTGCTGTTTGATGAGTGAAAGCTGTGCAGCTCCTGAGTTTGCAGACAAGTTTTTATGCAGTGCACGTGGGCTACCCAGGTAATGGTACATTAAGGAAACAATGAGCATTTGCTGCAGCTTTTGACACAAGTGGAATAGCTGCTATTTGTACAGCATCCAGAAGTAATAAGCTGCCTGCAGGAAGAAGGCATTGGGAAAATACACTGCAAATGAAGTTTAGAGGAGTAGTAAGAAAAAATGAATAGTTCCTGGAACATATAAACCAAGTAAATTTGTAGCTAACTGAGGTGGGCAACAGCTTTGAATCAGTGCATTTACATCACATACAAGGACAGAGGTGTGGAGTTACATACACAGCATGTGAATAAGAGGAGGAAAGATGAGACCTGCCCTTGCCTGAGGAGGAGTTGGGCTCATACAGGTGCTCAGGAACACTCCTGGTATGAGTGAGCAGCACAAAGTCACGTTGACAGCACCTGAAGGGCTTTTGTATACAGAGAAAATCACAGTGAACTCCCCTGCACTGGAGGACAAATGAGATTTCCATGGTGGTTTCAACTGAGGTTTGGAAAATCCATTGGGAACAGCCCAGGCGGGTCAGACGGGGCAGGTCTGCTGAGTACAGCATGGATGAGGGATTCCCCTTGTCTCGGGGTTTAGCCACAGCTTGGCGTTGAGGAGTGTATGGGGACAGCAGGACATGAACCCTTTGTGTCTCTCCCTCCATCGTCCTCTCCTCTCCCAGGGTTTACATAAAACTACAAACACAGACAAACAGCAGCAGCAGTTTTGGGTATCCAACAGGGACTTAACCTCCAGCCGAGCCTGTTCTGCAGGTCCAAGTCTGGGCTGCAGCTTTTATCGATTGCTGACTTCTGGTTTCCTTCCATTTACCCAATCCCCAGTTCTTGGAGCTCACCCAAAGCCATTTTCCAGGCATGAAATAACTGAATTCTCTGAAACAAGTCTTTGCCCAGGGACACAGCTGGCTTCTCCTCGTAAGCAGCTACAGCCTTTACCTGGTGCTGAAAGGAGGTGGCTGGCCTGTAAAGCTATTTCAGATGCAAACCCCAGACTCCATACCAGCAATTCAATCACATTTCTGCTCTGTTTGATGGGGTTTTTTTGTGTGTTTGCTATTTTTTTTCCCTTTGGGAAGGAAGGAGGGAAAAGCCAGATTTTACAGTTGTAGCTGATGCTTCACTTTGCTCACAAGCTGAATGTTAAGAGAGCAGAGCGTGCTAAATGGGATGGAAGAAATAGAGAACAGATTCACTGCACGGAGATGACAAGTGTGCTGCAGCCACAAAGCACGGCTGGATGACGGGGGGAGAGCAATACCCTGCTCTCCAAAGCAGAAAAACTGCAGATCACAGCAAGCTGCAGGGACAGGCAGCAAATGGGGCACGAGGCACTCGGCGAACAGCCCCCTGTGGGGTTAATGATGTATACAAGAAACCCATCACTTCCTCCAGTGCAGGGTCTGTGGCATCCTACTCATTCAAGCCAGGATCACACAACCCAAGTGGATCTGCAAAGAAATGGTCCTGTGTGTTGTGTTTTCCCACCATAAGCTTCCTCTGAGGAATACCTGACACCAGAGCAGCCGTGGTGCTGAGTTCAAGGCCTGTGGAAAGCAAGAACAGATTCTCCCCAGAGTTTTGGTTGCAAATACAAGCAGCAGAATATAAATTGGGAGAGATGTGTACGTGAGAGCCAGCAGAAGCACTGCTGTAGCTTAGAGTTCCGGAGGCAGAGACCTTGTCCTGCTGCCACACGAGAGCTATAGCTTTTGATTTGTGCATTAGCTGGAAAACAGCTGGGAAGTGCACGATGAGTCTGGTTTCCATTTTCTTCCTGTTTTCAAGAAAACACCTATTGTTTCTGTTGGCTCTTTGAGCAACTTCCTCTAGTGGAGGGTGTCCCTGTGTGTGGCAGGGGGTTGGAACTGGATGAGCTTTAAGGTCCCTTCAACCCAAAGCTGTCTGGGATTCTATGAATCAGGTCAGCGTGACACAAGACGGATCCCAACTGTTCATCACCATCTCAAAGCAAAAGGAGCTGCAATAAAATACTAACAGAAGGAGAGATTCAAAGCAGGGCAGTGGTAAGCCTAGATATACAAACTGGAAAACCACAAGAGCATATCTGCGTGCTGGAGATCCTTTGCCAGAGGGAAAAAAAGAACCCCCTCCAGAGTAAAGGGTGAATGATGCAGGACAAGAAATGACAATCCTCTGTTAACTGGTGCACAGATAACAAGAACAGATGATGAATTTCTCCTGACAATGGGTTCCCTCCATCCCCACCAGGTCCTTCTCCAACAAACCCACATTGCCACAGCCAGCACAGTCAGAACACAAGCTGTGAATGTGACGCTGTTGGTCATGAACTGGAGCTATGCTTGATGGCAGGGAGGTTGGAACAAGATGATCTTAAGGTTCTTTCCAACCCTAACTATTCTATGATTCTATGTGGCTCTTCTAAGAGGAAAGTTTGCTGTGGGCAGGAGATGCTCCATGGGTCATCTCAGCCTGAATACTGTGATTCAGGAGTGACTCTGAACCACACTCACCACACTGGAAACCACAGTGACAGCTTTCTTGGAAGCCAGGACAGACAATACGGGTAAGGGCAGCCAGGCCCAGGTCTGGTGTCCTGCACGTGGAAAGCCACACAGATATTCAGACTCTAAAATGTTTGAAATGGCTGTTCTTAAAGTACAGTATCACTATCCCAAACATGTCAGGATTTTATATCTTCATCATATATCTCTCTACCGCTCTTACTTACATCCATATACATTTATATGGATGTTATATATATGTGTGTGTATATATATATATACACTGAAAAAAGAAGGATAGGGAAAAAAACCCAGCAAATCATCAAGTACTGATACTGTTCCCCTGGAAACAACTGGAAAAGTACAGCATCCCAGCAATGCATTCCTACCAACTGGAAATTTGCCATTGGCTAAGGAACTATCTCTAAGCTGGGGGAGGGAAGAGGAGCAAGCACGAGTTCTGTAGGCAACAATGCTGACAGCAACTCCCAAAATACAATTCCTTAAGTTGGATAATAAAGTATGGGCCAGGCAACAAGTCAATCCTTGACAAGCACATGGAGACAGAAAACTCTCCTGCTCTTACACCCCAGCAAGCGATAGGTTTCAGTGTTTCACTGTGTGCATCCCTGTGATAATGTGCTCTGCACACCAGCACTGACAGGACTCATCAGAGACACTGCCATGAAAAGTTGGCTGACTATCATTTGGGAAGACCACTGACAGCAGGAGAGAAGGACAACACATCACACTCTACAGGCGTTGGAGCTGGGAATGAGGAGACAGAGCCAGCC